ATTTTTTTTAAACAAGAGTTAAGAAGGACCAAACTTGAAAAATAAAATAGATGAATCCCCACCAAATTAACCCACACAACCCAAAACCAAAAACCAACACCAAATCAACAAACCACACACTACTATTCCGAATATTTTATTCACCCATGCTGCTACACTCCCAATGCCCATCCAAGACCCACATGCTGCTACACTCCCAATGCCCAGCCAAGACCCACGCCGGACAACACTCTGCCATAGCATCAAAAGCAAACTTGCTACACCCACTGACAACACCCAAGGCCACACCACGCCTATGCTGCTGATCCGACCGAGAAAACTCCATAGCCAACACCGGAAGACACCATAGCCAACAGCTCCATGGACCAACACCGGAACCAACCACCGACCAACCACCCATCTGAACATAGCTTAATCACCACGCCAAGACCCACTTCCATGGTCGGAAACTTCTTTTCTGATTCAAAACTCCGAGCACTCAATGCATCCGAACACACCCAAGGACGATCAACACTCATGACCACAGCTAAACAAGACCTACTGCCATCTCCACTTCCATGGTCGGACACATATTTTCCGATCCAAACTCCAAACACACCCACTGAAAACACCCAAGGCCACACCACGCCTATGCTGCTGATCCGATCAAGAAAACTCCATAGCCAACAATCTAGGCCAATTTGATAACACAAACCACACATTTCCTCTCTCTTGAGTAGTTTTTCAAGACAGGCTTGAGGATCCACAGACCATTAACAATCTTGAACCATTAGTTTCAGGGTTGATGTAGTGAGCCTGATCACGATCGAAGCCATTACCACCCCCTCTGGTTCTCCTATCGTCTAATCAAAGTCATCACCATCCCAGCTGCAGGATCCTATTTCCTTCTCTCTGAATGGATCATTCCCTTCCACAGCCCTCTTGTCCCCTTCTCCTCCAGAGAACCTATCAGTTCAATCAGACATTCGAAAGGTCCAGGCTTTGAATTTGTTTTTTGATCAACTTGAGGTTCGAATTCTTTGGTGTTGTAATAGAATTAATGATAGGGAGATGAGGAATTGTCATTGAAGGTTTGAGAGAGTTCGGGAGCTGTAGAGAGAGCAACACATGTGGTGAGAGGGTATATGAAGAGGGTAAGAGAATCTTTGGTAAGAGAATCTCCTTTGGTAAGTGATTGTAAGGCTGTCACCCTTTTTGGGAAGAAGCTCTTCTTCGACTAGAAAGTCTTTTTGTTTGTGAGAAACGGGTAGATAATACGATGAGAGACATGGAGCAGGGAAACAGTAACAGATCTGTGCACACGATAAATGAATGCAAGAGTAAAAATATGTTTTTACATAAAACATTCGTGGCATAATAATAAAGAAGGGTGACATTATGGCCATCCTAATTGTTTATTCGTATCAAGATCATAGCTTGGTCGCCTTTTATCCAAATTTAATTGTGGTTGCTTGTCCTTTATATTTGAATTCAATGCTGAAAGAAAATGTATTACTGTATTGATGCATTAATTTGATGGATAAGTTTCACTTTTCATGGCAGCATTTTACCCCCATGTAATTCAAAAATCAATCACTGGGACTTCGGACGAATTTGCACCATTATGGTTTGGATAATTCTATTTACAAAATAATTCCATCTTATTATATCATTTTTCTAATTACATCTCTTTCAAAAATTCAAAATCTTTTTACATCTCTTTACACTCCTTTATTTGGAGATGGGGTAACTGTTGTGTCATTTTCATAGCAGTTAAGGTTATTCTATCCGGTTGGCTCATACCTCAATAATTAAAACTATTCACTTTTAGGATTTGTTGAACAATATATCTCTGTAAAATACTCAAATTAATCGGATATAGGTAACTTTTTTATTAAAATACATTTCTATCTAAGAAAACAAACGATGTATGATTTCGAGCGTTAATCTGAATATAAATATGATCGGCTCAAAAGGTTACCGATGTCCGATTAATTAATTTTTTAAAGGGATGTACTAATCAATAACCTCTAAAAAGTGAATGGTTTGAATAATTGAGATAGGACTCAAAGTGAGTTCTATGGAGAGAACTACCGTGATTGCTATGCAAAGAGTGCAACAATCACCCCACCTCTCCTTTATTCCACCTGTACTCCCATCTTTGACCTCCTCTCGTATGTTTTTACACCTAAAATCTTTTAATCCCTAACTTTTTCATCGTTAACTACTAGTCGTTGTTGCTGTCACTACCTCCTTCGAGCACCACTCTGCAATTCCACTGCCATCGCCACCACCTTGCAACCTCTCACTGCCAAAATCATCACTCTCTAGCTTTTGTCACGACCCAAACCCGCCCCTATGGGTTTTGCATCGTAACCGGCCAGTAATCTGTGATTGCTAAAGGCCTGCTTAACAGTAAAAACAGTAATACAAAGTAAGGGGCTGGCGGAAGCCAAACAGTAAATAAAAGGTGTCCAATAAGCTGAGGAAATCTGAGTACAAAAAGACTTTTATGAACAAGCCACATTCATAATCAAAAGGTATATACATGATAGGTACATAACACATCCAGGTTAGGGACTCAATCCCTTAACCATAACTGTACAGTCAGAGTCTAAACATTCATTACATATCAGAGACAAAATGGTGAATCTGGAACACCCCAAAGAAATAGCCTTGGCTTGAACGGATTGGAACCTCGAAGTGAGGCACAAAGGTTGGCTTGACAAAGCATGAGCTAACTCGATGCCCTAGCTCCGGTCTGGTACCTGGACACCTACATATAAATATAAACAGTGAGCTAAAGCCCAGTGAATAACAAATGCGTAAAGAGGTTAAGAATGAATGTCCTTTCAGTAATTAAAACAGTCAGTTACATCGGTGGATCAATTATTCAATCAGTGACTAACAGTTCATGTCAGAACAATCATTTGGAAACCATAGCAGTCATATGTGGTACATCCCATAGCAGAACAATACAGTAAACAGTAGGTCTTAACAGACCGAACAGTCAGTTGATGGCCATCAAACAGTATATAGTATTGGTTCCAAATATTGGAACTGACAGAGATCTCTGTGACAGTAGCAGTAACAGTACAGTGCAGTAGTACTAACAGTAATAGTAACAGTAACAGTAAGTTGCTATGGATGCCATAAGTACAGTTTACAAATAGGACAAACATTTATTCAGCAAACAATGTCGTTTCAAAAAGCAGTCAAGTTAATCATTTAGAAAATAATCATAATGGAACATATCTTTACAACATTGCTACTCATAGAGTACTGGGCTATAGGCAAGCTAATGAGCGTCCTCGGATGCCAACCCTACACAGTTGCAGAATGAACACACACTAAGTTACACATTTGGGAATCAATAACTAGACCCTATCTTGACTTGGTGTGGTTTTATAACATTATCCTCATTAAGATGCCTTAAATATGGCCTAGGAATGCCTAAGATGGAATGAGGATGCAAAGATGCACTTTGAAACACTTTACAAAATTTGCTAAAAATAGGGGTCTTGCTCGAGCATGGCTTTCTTCACTCGAGCGAGCTTACCAAAACAAAGGGGTCGCTCGAGTGTAAATTCCTTCACTCGAGCGGTCTGTAAAAATGCAAAAAGTACTGGTTGCTGAAATTTTCTGCTCGATGCTCACTCAAGCGTGAGACACAGTCATTCACTCGAGCGTAGGTTCCTTCGCTCGAGCGTGCGTCTGCACACGCAGAAAACCTGAGAGCTTGCAATCTACGCTCGAGCCAGTATTCCTTCGCTCAAGCGGAACTCAGAACACAAAGGTGATCGCTCGAGCGTGGAAACCAAAACCTAGGTTTTCCAGATTTGCCTCCAAAGCTCAAACCAAGCATTCAACACATCAAAACTCAACCTTTTGGGCCAATTTTCTGGAAAACACTTGGAAACTCATAATGCAACATGTTTTAAAGGTCATTTAATAAAATCAAAGCCCAAAAGTAAGCCAATTGAACACAATTTTAACCCAAAATTCAAGAACATCATGTAAATATGCCATGCTTGTGTTCATTTGAATTCAAAGCTTCAAACACATGATCAAATAAGCCATTACTCCAAAAACATGATGAATTCTTAGATTACAACTATAATCTAGACATGCATGGAAGAATTTCATGGAAAACAACCTTAAACTTCATGATATGTACATGCATGCACACATAGCTACTCAATTCAATTCATTGAGCCATATCTTGACTCTAATCTCCAATATTCCCATGAACCATGCAAGAAATAACTTAAATTCATAATCAAGAGGGTGAATTCCCTACCTTAGGTCTTGAATTCCAAGTATGGAAGCCCAATTTTGCAAATTCTCTTCAATTCCTCTAAGTTCAAGCAAGAATTCTAGATGAATTCAATTATCTCCTATCTCCCTCTCTCTCACGGTTTGGCCTAGAAGATGGATGGAAAGTGGTGTACAAAACATATGTAAAGTGTAATAAGGGTTGGTCTTGAATTAGACCACTTAGTGGCAAAAGTGTAATTACCCTGGTTCAATTAGTTTAACATTATTTAATCTAATTAATCATACCAAATCAAATTTTCATTAAAGTTACCATAAAATCACATAAATCCTAATTAGCATAAAACACTAATCCATTTATGAATCGGTCGCCGATAAGGCTTTCAATTCGCAAATCCAAAATTAAAACATGAACAGATCATTCAGTAACAGACAGATAGGAATGCAATTAAAGACAACATACTCATACAATCAATTCAGGATTTTGCCATAATCAATTACTTATCATGCTTAATCACAGTTTAACACTAATCAGAGGCGAGGGTTGTCACAGCCTTCCCCGCAACCACCACTTTCGCAGTTTCTTTTCAGCATTCATGTTTTATTTGGTGAACCATAGATAAACAAATTTTGTTTGTTCGGCGGCATACGATTGAACAAATTTGTTTGGTTGGAAGTGGCTAATTAAATCAAATTTGTTTTAGAAGTTTTTAAAGTTCGTAACTAAGTGGACCTGGAAAATAAAAATGGTGGCGACTACTAGGGCTAGGGAGGTAGGGGGATGGCGTCTGGTGCTATATGAGCGGGGAAGACGGAAACAAGGGTCTGTACCTGCCAAACCAGGTATCTACACAATTTTTGTGGACAACATTCCTTTGTCAATGAATCCAAAGGGGCTGTATGAGTTGTTTAAGAAGTTCGGAGTGGTCAGGGATATGTTTATCCCTACTAAAACTAGGAAAACCACAAGGTCAAGGTTTGGCTTTGTCAGATATGACTTCTCTGTTGCGGCGGAGATGGCAATCCAAAAGGCTAATGGAGTGTGGTGTGACGACAAAGCTTTAAGGGTCAAGTTCACAGAGTTTGCAAAAGATACTTCTGCTGGTAGGGGATGGGTCAGTTTGTTAAAGAAAAGAAGGGCAATAGGAGAGCGCAACAGCTTGGGAGGAGTTATCTGGTGAAAGCAGAGCCCTTGTTTAAGGACAGGAAGTCATATGCAGAAGTGGTTTAGGTGGGAAATGTTGATGAGATTATGGGCCCTACGGTAGATGTGGATGAAGTGGGGAATGGTTGGTTGTACAATAGTCTTATCATTAAGCTGAAAAGCTTCTATGTGTTTTCTGAATTCAAAAAAGCTGTTTGTAACCTAGGACCAGAGGGAGTTGAAGTTAGAAAAAGGAGGTGGAAGGACTGCTGTGGTATCCTTCAGGTCAGTGACTAAGTTGAAGACTAATAGTCATTACTTGAAAGTTGTTGGAAGGACTGGTGTGTTTCTGCGGAAGAGTGGTCGAGTGGTGGGCATATCCAGCAAGAGAGAGGAGTATGGTTGTGCTGTTATGGAATTCCTTTCAATTTGTGGAGTGTTGATACCTTTAGTAAGATTGAGCGGTTATGGGGGGAGGTAATTAGAGTGGATGAAGCTACATCTAAGCAGGTATCATTCAGATGTGGAAGAGTGAAGGTAGCCACATTGTTCATGGGTGTTATTAATACAATGGTGCAAGTAAGATGCAAAGGTAAAAGCTATCCAGTAAGAGTCTGTGAGGAACATGTCCTGGTGCCAAGGAATGGTGGTCGTAAGTGCTCTGCTATGGATTGTTGTAGTTCTAACAATTCAGAGGTCAAGCATGGTAGCCATGGGAGACCAGAACTGGAAGAAGCAGCTGATGTGGATGCCACAATGCAGAATGAGGTGGCAATTCATGATGAGGTGGCCTCTCTCTGTAGGAAGGACGTGGCAATTAGGGATGGTAGTGGATGTGTGGAGAAGTTGGACGATCCTTCTCCTTTTGTAGTGGGAGACTCATTTAATACACGCATGGGGAGTCAGAAGGAATTAGCAGTATGTTATAGAGGTATTTCCAATGATAATATAACTGTCTGTCAGAGGAATATTATTGAGAGGAGTGGTGAGGAGGAAGGGTTGGCTACAGCTGGTTATCTAAGAAGCCTTAGTGGCAATGGGCCTGATAGGCCAGGCATTAAGATTCAAATTGTACTGGATGAGGCTATTAGAGCAAAGGGTCTGATTAAGCCCAGTGAAGTTAATATGGGTATGGGCCTATTCTCTAATGGAAAGGATGTGATTCAGGCCCATGTTAGTGAAAATTTTCCTTTACCTTCTACACAACCCATATCTGTGGTGGGTAGGTCTGCGGGAGGATCTAGGGTGCCTCACAAACAGATTTGCAAATTAATTGGGAAAAGGAAAGATTTAGCTTATGGAAAGGAATCAAGCTGGGGTAGAAGAAATCGAAAGAGGGAAAGGGTGTTATTCGTGGTTGTGGTTCATCTTCAAGAGGGAGTTGGCACAAAGGACCTGTTTTTCGAGTGGTAGCGGCTGTGCTGTCAAGATCAAGTTCGAGTGGTCAGTCTAATCAGGGAAGGGCTCGGGCTACGGAGGAAGCAAAGGAGACTTTGAAGGTGGGTAAATCCTTAGGGATTGATTTCGGCAGCAATGAACATGAGGTATTGCAGAGAATTGTGGAGTTAGAAGAGGATGATGAGAGGAGGGTGGAGCAGAAGGATGGTGTTATTCACCACTGAATAATACTATTAGGTGGCCTTGGTGTCTTGATTTGTGTCCGGATGAAGCTATTGTTTTAGAATATCATGGGTTTTGGGAAACCAGGAAAAAGAAGGCAAATTAGGGAGTTACTTAAGGAGCGTAGAGTTGATCTAGCGTTCTTCCAAGAAACTAAGAAGAGCGGCTTGACTAGAGAGTTGGTTCGTTCAGTTTGGTCTGATGATAGTTTTGAATTTTTGAGTGTGGATGCTGATGGTTCGGCTGGTGGGTTGCTGTGTGTATGGAGACCGGAGGTTTTTCTAATGTCCCATTGCTACAGTTCTAGGTGTTTCGTTTTGTTATCAGGTACTATCTCCCTTGATTTTCAGTGTGTCTTTATAAATATTTACGCACCAAATGATGCTTCATGGAGGGGCCTTTTATGGAATGTCATTAAGAATTTAAGGTCATATTTTCTTGGTCCATGGTGTTTGGGGGGTGACTTTAATGAGATTAGGAGTTTAGGAGAAAGGAAAGGTTGCACAAGAAGGGATAGAGGCATGTTAGACTTTAACAATTTCATTGAAGAACTAGAACTATTCGATGTGCCGATGCTTGGAAGACAATTCACTTGGAGTAATTCAGAAGATGGGGGCAGGTGGAGTCGGATTGACAGAGTATTGCTGTCCTCTGAATGGATAGAAAAGTTTAAGCTGAAATTGTGGGGCTTGCCTAGGGGTGTGTCGGATCACTGTCCTTTGAATTTGATGGAGAATGGGAGGGATTGGGGTCCAAAACCGTTCAGGTTTATCAATGCCTGGCTCTTACATCCAGATTTTATGTCATTTATTAAGAAGTCTTGGGAGGAATTAACAGTTTGTGGGTGGGCAGGGTTTGTGATTGTCATGAAGCTTAGACATCTGAGATTGGTTCTGAAGAAGTGGAACAGAGAGGTGTTTGGGAACGTATCTTGTTCATTAAAAAAGGCTCAGAAGGAGCTGTATGAATTGGATTTGGTGGTTGAATCCAGAGATTTGGGGGATGATGAAGTAGCTAGGCGAAGAGTGGTTAGGAAGCTAGTATGGTCTTTGTCTAAAAGGGAGGAATGGATGTGGCTTCAGAAATCCAGATTAGATTGGTCCTTGAAAGGTGACAAAAATACAAGGTTTTTTCATACTATAGCTTTGAGTAGGCAATGTAGGAATTTCCTTAGTTCAATGACAGTTGATGGTGAGTGTCTTGAGGAGCCAAACCTGGTGAAAGGAGAGGTGTTGAGGCACTTTAAACAAGTGTTTACTGAAGAATGGGGGAGCAGACCACAGCTAAGAGGGCAATTTAGAACCATTGGTCAAGATCAATTTGTGGATGGCCTAGAAGTTGTTTTCTCGGAAGAAGAAGTTTGGGCTGCTATTAAAAGCAGTGATGGGAATAGAGCTCCGGGACCGGATGGATTTAACTTGGCGTGTTTCCAAAATTGTTGGAGGGTGTTTAAGCCAGAGGTTATGCAATTTTTCAAGGAGTTTTATGACAATGGGAAGTTGGCTTCGGGGTTAAACAACTCTTTTATTACTTTTATACCCAAGGTTGATTGTCCAAGTAGTATTTTTGATTTTAGGCCAATAAGTCTAATCGGGTCTATATATAAGATTCTAGCTAAAGTGTTGGCCAATAGGTTGAAGAAGGTGGTGCCAAGGGTTATTGAAGAGGCACAATCAGCGTTTTTGGGCTGCAGGAATATATTTGATGGGGTTTTAATAGCTAATGAGATTGTTGATTGGTGGAAGGTTAATAGAAAAAAGGGAGTGATTCTCAAGCTTGATTTCCAAAAGGTATACGATTCAGTTAATTGGGGTTGTCTCTTGTCCATGATGAATGAGTTGGTTTTGGGGTTAGGTGGAGGGGTTAGATTCGGGAGTGCCTCCAATCTTCCAGATGCTTTGTCATTGTCAATGGATCGCCAACAGATGAATTTAAGTCTAGTAAAGGTCTTCGACAAGGTGACCCTTTATCTCCCTTTCTGTTTAACATAATGGCGGAAGGGCTTCATATGCTGATGCTCAAGGCCAGGTCTTTAGGTCTACTCTCAGGGGTTATGGTGGGTCATGATGTTACGATATCACATCTTCAGTTTGCGGACGATACGATCATTTTCTGTGAGGCTAAGTTGGAAGTGGTAATAGTAGTTAAAAGGATTTTGAGGTGCTTCGAACTGGTCTCTGGATTGAAAATTAATTTTCCTAAAAGTTCTATATGTGGTATAGGTGTGCCTGAGAACGAGATGGAGGTGTTTGCATCTAGGTTGTGCTTCAAGGTTCAGAAATTACCATTGTCCTACCTCGGATTACCATTAAGGGCAAGTCCTGGGCTTAAGAAGACTTGGAAGCCTATTCTTGATAAATGCAAAGCTAGACTTGCTTCTTGGAAGAGGAAGCTTCTATCTTTTGGAGGAAGGTTAACACTCATTAAGTCGGTGTTGTCTAATTTGCCTTCATATTATTTATCTCTTTTTATGATCCCTTTTTCTATGGCTAAGGCATTTGATAGAATCCGAGCAAATTTTCTTTGGAGAGGGGGGGTGTCTGAACTGAAGAGAAAGGTTCATCTTGTTAGTTGGGAGGAAGTAACTAAAAGAAAAGATAATGGGCGTCTGGGTATTAGGAAGGTTCATCAGGTGAATGATTGCCTATTGGCCAAATAGTGGTGGCGGTTTGGTGTGGAGGATTCATCATTGTGGAAACGTGTTATTTGCTGTAGGTATTCTTCGAATGGTGGGAGGTGGTACCCTTTCCCAGAAGTTTTTGGGTCTTATTCAAAAATTTGGGGTGATATTCTCAAGGTTAGTCAATTAAATTCCCATCTCTTCAATATTTTTATGGCAAATTCTCAACTATGTGTGGGTAAGGGAAACAGAGTTCACTTTTAGACTGATAGGTGGGTGGGTAATTTGTCTATTAAGGCTTTGTTCCCTAGGCTATTTAGTCTATCTTTAGAAAAGGAGATCACTCTGAGAGTGGTGCTGGATAGGAGGGTCGACCAGTCAGATGGTTTTCTCAGGTTTAGAAGAGCCTTGCTGAGCTGGGAATCAGATGAGCTGATTAGTTTGGAGGCTTTGTTGAACTCTGTTGTGTCTGGATCTTCAAATAGAGATGACTGTCTACAGTGGTTGGCTAATACTTATAGGCAGTTTTCGGTCTCGTCCCTATATTCTTTGTTGATGCCTTTCACTCATCTATTGGTTTCTAAGTTACTTTGAAACAATATTTACCCTCCAAAAGTGCAGTTTCTTAGATGGTTGGCGTGGAAGGGGAGACTTAAGACTTTTTCATTTTTGCAAGGAATTGGGGTTTTAGGTCCTGAGGCTTCGGTCCTATGCATATTTTGTAGGAGGGAGGAGGAGTCAGTGTCCCATATTTTGCTGTGGTGTCCTTTTGCTTAGAGAGTGTGGTCTTGTTTACT